ATTTAGAAAAAAATGGTTTAAAATGTTTATTTGAAGAAAAACTTTTGTTCATCGAGAATTAAATTTTTTTTCACCTTATAAAATGAATATGAATATAAATAGTCAATTTGCATCCGCCATTTCTGGTTGCATTGGCTCAAATAATTGTTAATAGGCCAAAGATTCATTTGAATATGAAAGGACCGATAAGTTTCCATCATTCGGATTTTTTAATAGAATCTTCAATCCTACCAGTTGCAGAGGTTAAAACGAAATTGATGTAGCGGCAAGCATTCTGAATCCTTTCATGAAGAGATTTCTGGAAAATTAAAAAACCTGAATTATACGATTTATTAGATATGGAAATAAATTTCGTTTAAAAATTAATTAAGAAAAGCATTTCTATTAAATATTAAATCACATATCACATATTGAATCATATTAATATGGGCAACAATTATGCAATAATTTTCATTTTTTTTCACTGTTTTAAATTATCCATTGGTGGAAATGCAAAACAAATAATGATATACAGGGATATTTTAAAAATGAAATAAGAAATAGGGATACATTTAGGATTCAAAATCGAAGAAGGCCTATTTGCCTTTTTGCATCTACGCGAATTCTTTTATGGTGTCATCTTTTCACATATTTGAATGAAAAAACAAAATAAGAGAATGTTGGTCTTATTTTTGTCAAAGTGAAAAAAACCGAATATCGAATGATAAAAAATTATAAAACATTGTATAATGTTCTTGGAGCAGCCTTATTTTTTAAAAATTTTGTTGCTTGTGAATACATGAATGACCATGTCATGAAAAATTCTTTATAAAAATTCTAAGAAGAATTTTAAGACTTGTGTGGCTCAGGCTAAATTACCAGATTACTGTACTCTTTTCTTCTTTCTTTTCAAACTTCCTTGTCCTTCTATCTTTTTTTTGCTTTCCATCTACCTTCATCCCTCTCATTAATAATTTACAAGAATTCGCCCTTTATCCTTTTCGCATCTCCCATTTCTTTGATGTCTTGCAACCTCCTTTCATCTTTCCATGTTCCCTTTTGGGTTATTCTCATAGTTATAAGGAAGTCTCACAATTAAAAGTATGAATTATAGGTATCACTGTTCTTATTTCATTCTTTCAATATTTTATAAAAACCTAGTTTGTATTGCAATTTTTAATTGGTCCATATGAGCTTTACTGACATTTTCATTATCACTTAATCGAGTTATATTCACATTTTGTGAGGAAAAAAAATCTACTCTTATTTTGTTTAAATTCCTAAAGCTATTTTTTTTATCAAAAGATTTTTATTTCTTTATCCACTTTCTGTATTATTTTCCTAACAATTGGCTAAGTAGCTATCTAAGCCAAATATTTAGTAACATAAATGGTTCAATTCCTGTAGCGATCAGTTCAACAGTGAAAGCAGACCATCACCTCTGTTATTATTTTTTTGTTGTTTTCGAACTATTGCGATCTATATTCTAGAATTATTTGTTGCGAGTAGAGTAAAGAGTAAACAACATCTTAGTTATATTCAGTTGTTAAAAATCATAATAGGATTCACTCCACAAGAAAAAGCATTGTGGAACAAAAAAATTTTTTAATATACATCCATACATCCATGGTTTTCTATAGTAGGTGCTGTTTAAATCATATTAAATTTGTTTTCACCGTTCAATGAGCAAGAAAATATGAGAATAACAAAGCATGCGAGCGATAACATGAGTTCATTTCCATTGAAATTTAATGAAAATATGTTTAACAGAAAAATTCAACTTTTTGAAATACTGATTTTGTTGCTGCTTTTCATCTTCTTTCTCTTTATATGTATTTAGGCTTAGAACTTTCCGTCTTATGTAATAATAACGAAAAAAAACGAGAAAAAAATTCAAAAATCCTCAAGCAGTTACTTACTCTTATTTTCGATTTATATTTGTAATAGTTAACATAAAATCATAAAAAATTGTTAAATGTTTACACATTGAAATGCCCTTTAGTTTACAATTTTTTTTAACTAATCTACGAATTTTTCGCGGTGATGAACTTTTATCTAAGCCATAATTAATTTTACTATTGCTGTCATACTCTTACCATGTGCTATTATTGCTTTTGCTTATTCTCACTTCAGTGAATTTTTTTCTTTTCAAGAAATAAATAATTTGCGATTGTGAAAAGTAGCTTTTTAAGAAAAAATAACAAAATTTTATCAATACTCGCTTTTTTTCCTTAATTCTCCTCACACGATTTCTTTTTTCTTTCTCTCGTAAAATAATAAAATGATTAATGGATAATAATGAATAAAATTTTTTAAAATTAATAGTGAATAAAATATTCAGTGGAAAGAAAATTTTTTTAAAATCCAATTGGTGCTGGGGACTCATCTGTATTTCCTTAAATGAAAGACTTATTATCTACCTATAATTTCTACTTGAACCAGTGGAGTTAGCCAGAAATGGTAGCCCAAACAATTTACTTCTTTTACTTGTTTAAAGATAGATATATTAGTGATTAAAAAATAATATGACACTTTCAAGTTTTGCGAAATTTTTAACATTTCTTTTATGACTAAATTTTTTTGCATTTCTGAAAAATCTGGAATGAAATGATATTTTTGTTACAGTAGTAAGATATGTTAGGAAATTTTTCTGGAAACAATTTAGTAGAAAGTTTGGAAAAAAAGTGTCCTTACGGTTACCATAGAATATTATTGATATTTTTCTCTCGTCAAAAAACTTTTAAGCTTTGTATGTTTTTTTTATTTTATTTAAATGCTCATTCTTATTTAAATGGCTTAAACAAATAGATGTATGCAAAAATTTTAATCACAAGACGGGCAAACAACTGATTCTTTCAACTACTTTTTGGAAGTTATTATGAAATCATAATATTACGAATCATGATAAAGCAATCAGCAGAGCAGTTCGATTTTTTTAACGCTCACTCATTACTTGGATTTTTCAATTATTAATAATAATAAAGATAAAGGCTCTCTTTGGAGATAAAGTTTGGACCTTGATGACCGAGATGGTAATCTGATGGACAACCATTTGGTTATTGCACGTTCTATTTTTGTATGTTGATCGTCTTACTCGTAATATTTTTTAATGCTGAAACAAGTTTATCAAATGGCTCAGTTGTAAATCTTTGTTATATCCTATTTCTATTTCACTGGTAGGCGATAGATTGCACCAATTCCATATTATGGTGTGACCCTCATATTTTAAGGAAAAAGCAAGGTTGTTTCCCATAATTTTTGTTAATGTTTTATACGCATCAGCATTTTAATAATATTTTTCCAAAAGAAGTGTAAGGTTTTAATGATAAATTAAATTTTTTAAAAAAAATTCTTCTTCACCTTTGGAAAAAAAAGCCCAATTACTGATAAAAAAAGTTGGAAATGAAATTGAAGGAAGGCGCAAAAAAACGATGGATTCACATTATGAAACATTGCCCACAAACACTTCATTCATTTTTCTTTCCCTGTTCATTCCTTTTTTTATAATAAAAAATAAATCTTGTTTTTTTTTTCTTTAAATACCAGTGTAACAATTCAATTATGAACAGTTGCATGGTCTTAGAAAAAAATTTTTCGCAGTGATAAGTTTTTTATTTTATTGACATTAAAATATTCGTTTAGTATTCATAATGTAAAGTCAGTCGGTAGTAATGTTCATCATTTCTGATTAAGCGGACTTTATTGGTTATTGGTACGGTGAGAAATTTTTGCGGGGTTATAGATATAGAAATACAATCAGATTTCCATTCGGAATTTTCAAATTACTACAGTCTGAGATAAAGTCGAGGAAAGAGAGCATGATCCTTGAGACGATAATCTGAGCAATAACCACTATTATTTCTTTATGTAGAATATTTGAGAAAAATTAATTGGAAAGAAAAGGTTCATTAGGAAAGACGATAATTATGTAAGGCGAATTCATATGGTATAGCAGCATTTTTTGTTCTACACACTAATTTGAAAAAAATATGCGAGTATTTTGAACTATACTTGTGCAGTTTTCGTCGGATTTTATTCCAAATTTTTAATTAAATTTTTATTTTAAATATTTTATGAAGTTTCAGAATCCGACTTGATAAAGAAGGGAAAGTGAAAAGAAAATAAGAATGATGAGGTATAGATATATTTTTACATTATTTTCAACAGTTTTTGCACCATTATTTTTCTCATTCTATATGGCTTTCACTCGTTGTTCGTCGATTTCCTTTCCGCAGTGAAAATTTGTTACTTTGCTTATCTGATAAATAATTCATTTTTTTGAATAAACAATTCTGCAAAAGGGAATTTTATAGGTTTGATACAATGGACACTTTGGCGGTCTTAAATGCTGCAACTGTTAGTGCTGCTAATATAGAAAAAATTGGTACCTTTTATCTTTATGAAAAATTAAAAATTTAGCGAAAAAATATATGTGATATAGTATGACGTGGGGGAATCATGAGTAGCATTAGTGCAGATAGGTAGCTTCTGGATTTCACCTTTTAGAAAAAATTTTTCGAAAGAAAGAAACACTTCGAAGGTAGATTTAATAAGCGTCGAAACTGCCCAATCCGATCTGTGCTATGAATTAGTTTAACATTCGACGCAAAGGTACTCTGTCATATTAAGGATCTCAGATTCTATCCAAAAGTTGATCCAAAATTCTCCATCGTTTCTATCTATTGTTCCGCTTATTCTTTATATAAAATGTCTTTAAATCTACCATAAACTCATTTCTTTTTGATTCGCTTTATCTGAAACGTCTGATCTTTAGCAATCTTTGTTATCATTCTGCAAATAACCAATTTTCTCTCTCTTCCTCTCCCTTCTCATATTTTCTCGTTCATTCTTGTGCCACTGGACGATGAAAGATCTGTTCTCGTCCAATTATATTCAAAGTAAATAATGCCTAAAAGTTCTCGTCGATAATTCATCGGTAAAATTTACTCTCCAAATCGCTAAAAAACCGTTCGTTTGAGAATCACTGAACAAATTTATTGCTATATTTTAATGAAAAAAATTGCCACGCAGACGTCATGCGGAAGCTTAGAGAAGTAAATTGCTGGCAAAAGGAGTTTACGTTAACGGTAAACTGGAAATTATTTTAAATATTAGAATCGAGATTAATTCACCACAATATTTGCTTATACAAGTCTTAATGTTCTATTTTAAGGCAATAAACGTGTATATTATTGTCAACGATGTTTGAATCATAATCGTTTGGAACCACGTAAAAATCATAAATGTGACTGTATATACGCGAACTGTACATGCAATAAATGTATATTAGTTGAGAAAAGACGCATGCTAAATATACAGCTTCATGAACTCGAAGAAATTGCTGATAATGAAATAAATGATATTGAAGATATCGATGATAATTATAACAAAATTGGCAATAAAATTAAAGGAGGCAAGTTTATTTTTCTTTAACACTTGCTACTATTTCACTAAAGTTTTATTTATTTATAAGGCATAAATGAATCGAAATGCGTCATGATCGAGTTTCATTAATCAAGATCCTTAAAATTCTTCGTGTCAAAAGAATTTTTTTTCCCCCTTTTTATACTATATCTACGTAAAAAGATGGAAAGCCAAGTATATGGGGCACTATCTTCATAAACACCTTCTCAGTATATGGCTTAGGCTAGATGGAAGGCTCCTCTAAAAATCGTGGAGATCAGGATACTAAAGCCAAGATCTTATGGATCTTCCCTATCCGGACAGATAGGTACTGGCCAATCAACCAGATATCGTGATAACAGACAATAACCAAAAATCAGCACCGATGATAATAGTCATAGCGATACCAGGACGAAGTAATATGGGAATGAGAGAAATTTAGAGAAATAGGCGCTCAAAAAGGAATTTGAGATGTGGAAAATGAACACTAAAGTGGTGGTAAGAGCACTCTCAGCTATAATTCCTGAATTGGAAAAGTTGCTGCAACAGATTCCAGGAAATACATCAGCGCTCTCTGTGCACTGTTAGGAGGAGTTAAGATTCTGCGCAAAAACTGAGCTTGCTCATACTCACCCACAGAAGATATATCATTTTTTTCCTTTTAGCAGAACTGTGGTAATTTTAAATTAAATTTTATATTATTGAAAGAGGCATAAAAATAGAGGCATAATTTTATAGAGGCATAAAAAAAGAGGCATAAAATTAAATTTTATATTATTGAAAGAGGCATAATAGATCATTCCATAAAAAATTCTTCTATAGTTACATATTTGCACTATCATATGTGTTAATTATTTTATTTTAATTAATTAATTAATTATTTTAATTAATTATTTTATTACAGATTATTAATTTGTATTAATTATTTTAAAAGTATTCTTAAAAATCTTAAAAATAAATATCCGAACAGCATAAATTGCTAATATTCAAAATTTTCATAAGAACAATTCATTTTATTTTGTGCGCGTTGGTAATCGAGTGAAAGAATTGCTTCGACTGAGGTTTCCCCTAAAGGGAATAAAACTTGTTATTAAAGCAAAACCTGATATGTACTGTGAGAGCACTGTGCCTCTACCTCCGAATGACTCTGTGGCGAAAGAATCTTAAGATAATAACCAGTGGAAGCAGGCAGACCTGAAATAACGTGCCTGTGTTTGGAAATTGGCCCCTGTCTTAAATTGCGAAATTGGCCTATTTTGTTGTATAAAATCCTTTTAGATTTCCAATATAAGCTACTGTTTATGGGAAATGCCAATGGATCCGCGAAACTTCTCTTTGTACTTTTGCCACAGTCCATTGTCTTAAGCTGATTTTTTGACAGTTTGAAAAATCGCAAGAAGGAAATTTTATTTGTATATAGAAAGTGAAATGAAATTTTGTCCAATTTTCTTACACATTTTTTTTTTTCTGTGCGAGGTAACACATTTGCCAGGTTTGTATTAGCAGTTAAACTTCAAACAAACGCTTATTGTTGCAACATATTATTTTGCGATCGTAAATTTTTAGATGAGGCTGAAGTTCATCAGCAAACATGTTTTGTTACACAAAATATAGTATAATAGCTAATTTTGTTTAAAAAGACGATTTATTAAATGAAAAATGGAATAGAATTTGGATGGATGATAAAAGTCAAGAATTTAGGTTTAATAAAGTTTTAAGAGATGCATTAATAGTGGCAAAAAAAAATCAGCGAAATTTACCTGAGAATTCTTTTTTCTTCTTTTGATAATGATAAGATAAATAAAAGAGATTTCAGAGAAATAAGTGAAAAAATTTATCAAAGAAGAGAAAGGCTTTTAAAATGGGATTTTGCTGAAATCTAAAGCAAAAAAATCAGATGTAGAACTTTTTTTTTCTTGGCTATACTTGTTCATCCCTTATCTATAGCAGTTTATAAATGAATTTCTTTTCAACGTTTCCTGCAACTTAATTCTTCCGATTCGTATTATCATTTTGAAAATTCTCTTTTTATATAACATTATTTTCGAAAAAATCTAAAAAATACTATCGTGCCATATCTTTTGCATCGAAATATTCTCAAAACACAAGTTTAACGTAAAAGTTTGTTTTATCTTCTATTTTTCGATGTGATTGAGATTTTAAACATTTTTTATTGTTTTAATTGTATTGTATTTCCAGTTAATGAAGAGATTCAACAAATGATGCTTACGATGATAAAACTATATGGGAAATGAGGAATATTAATTATTAAAGGGTTCAAGCTGAGAGAAACTTTCTATTTAAGCTATTTTAATTAAGCATAAGAAAGCCTAGATAAATGGATGCGACATTTTTCTACAGTTGTTAGCTGCGAAATCATTCATCTTTTATTGCATTTTGCAATCATTCCTTGAATCGTTGAATCGGAATCCAAGCTTGTTTAACTATTTAGTTTTTATGCTCAACTGGCTTCTTCATTTATACCATATAGAAATTCTTAATCACAATTCAATGAAATCAATTTTTGCATTGAATCTCCTATTTTTTAATGGCATCTTTCTTTATAGTTAGCTTATAAAATGAGGAATTCTTTATATATATATATATATATATATATCGTATTATTGTAATTAAACAAAATTTAAAAATTAAATTTAAACGATAAAATCACCAAATCCTTTAAAATAATGGAATGATTAGACCTTAACAGTTTCGCTACTGTTGATAATTCTTATCCATATTTCAATAATTTGTAGTTCAGTTATTTTATTTCATTAGTGACATTTCATATTTTACATAAGTATGACCGGTTAATTGGTTATAATCGATAGCATTTCAACATCGATGCATAAATACAGAAATTAAATTGAAAAAATTAAAATAAAAAAATCTTAGAACGTGTTCCTAATTGCCAAAAATGTGGACAGCATGGTCGAAAATCCAGGTTGAAAGGTCACAAAAGAATTTGTCCATTTCGAGACTGTGGTTGTGTTAAAGTTAGTCATTTATTAAGTTTCTTCGTCCTTCATTTTTCTTTGTGACCAAGGTCCTCATGAATTTTTATCAATTAAAACTGGTTAAAATCTGCTCATTTACACATTAATTTATCTTATTTACCATGATCATTAATTTTAATATTTATTTTAATGCATATCAATCTATATCATTAAAATATATTTAAATTTTAGTGTCAAGTGGTAAGTGAGAGGCAAAAATTAATGGCAGATCAAATCAAAATTCGTCGTAGACAACGTAAAGATACTATACTGAACATAACTCGAGATAATATTACAGCTACTTTAAACGTTGCTGCAGCAGTAGCTGCAAATTCATCGCTACCTTATTTCAGCAGTTTGAATAATCTTCTCTGTAATTTTTTATTTTTCGTTCAGCAGCAGCGTAGAACTATAACAGAAAAATGCTTGAGAAGTTGCCAAGCTTCAACAGAATGCGTCGCCTTATTCTCAGTTAGATAATGCAAAACTGCAGAGTACAATAATTACAGAGCAAAGAATTTGTGCCGTACTAAGTTAAACCTAATGGTATTAATAGTATTTTAAAGATTTCTTCTCATTTTTAACAATTAATTGCTTTTTTGTTCAGATCGCCAATTACAACATTCAATACAACAATCTCCTCTGTTTTTGATGAACCCGACTGCAGCAGCTGCAGCTGCAGCAGCTAATGGTATTGTTGATTGCTCGACTATAAATTCACTAAATTATCTGCAAACACGACCTGATATTTTTGAAAAGACAGTTGCAAATCAGTCTCAAACAAATAAGCTGTCAGATTTGCCAGTGATTTTACCACCCGTACCAATATCGACTCAGTCAATTGGCAACATACCTCTAGCAGCAGCATCATCATCATCAGCTACATCAACACCACTTTCATCTGAAACTACTGCACATGATCTAGGCAGTTCTCAAATTGCAGTACCTGTTGCTATTAATCCAACTCGTTCACCTACATCATTGCATTCAACAAGTTATAATGTGGCAAAAAATCAGGATGATAATAGGTTTATAAATGCTGATGATAATAACAATAACACTACAAATGGCGTAGGACAATTAATTGATAATGACCAATTGTTTCAGTCACTTCTTGCCAATGTTCGTATGCTTGAACAAAAAATATGTTTAGATGTTTTACAAGAAAATTCTAATCCCAGTGCTTTTGTCAATATTCGTTCACTGTAATTATTATTTTATTTATTCTTTTAATGAAAAAAGTTAGCAAATCTTTTCCTTCTTTTTCAGTTAAATTCGGTAGTTTGTTCATTTTTCCTTTTCTTGAAAAGAAAATATTTAATTTATAAGCAAATATCGTTTAATTTGGCGTAAGGAAAACAAATTTTTTCTTTTTTAATCCTTCTTTTTTTTGTTGATTAATTTACCTCGAATTATTATCATCGTTACTATTATCATTATCAATTGAACCTCCGCTTATCACCATTCTCTTCACCATTTTTTCCTTGTTTGTACTATTTTATCTAATTTTTCTTTTTTTGGATTTACTTCTGAAATTTCACGAGATTTTTTTCGACTTTTTTGCTTGAATTTTTTTTTCTCGTTTGATTTTTTTAATGAAATTTTTTAAATAATTTAGAAGTTGCAGGAGAAAAATATTCCTACGCATTCATTATAACAGGTAAAGGTTCTGGCAGTTTTTCAATAAAAAAGTAACTTTTTTTCTTTTTTCGCAGTAATTTTTTAAGACAATGGGTATTAGTAAAGTATAAACACTTCAAAAAAATTTATATTTCGGAATAAGATTAACAGATTGATTCTGCTCCTAGCCATTTGAAAATTGAACTTTTGTAACTTTTAAGAGAAAGCATAATCGTAAGAAGTTTTATTATAAATTCATTTTAAAAATATGCCGAAGAAACATTGGAAATATGTTATGATGATCACAGTGGAAAATTCCCTTTTTTAACACCTTTGAATAATACTAATCACTATTTTCATCAAAAAATTCATCTTTTTTTTTCATTCATTTCTCATCAAATTCATTCTTTTCACCTAAAAATTTTTTACGAATTTTTTCGTTTTTCTATTTTTTTTCAATGTTTCATATATATTCTGGCATAATTTTAAGATTTAATCAGTCAATTTGTCTTTATTTATATTATATTTGGTAATATAAGAGGGGAATTTATAATTTGCATGTAAAATAAAAATTGCTCAGAAATAAGTTTCGCATAGAAAAGAAAAATGAAACAAAAAACGATATATGAACTGTTAAGCTAATATTTTGGGTATATTATGGGTGTTTGATAAATTTGATTTTGTAAAACTTTTTTTCTTTGGATTCTTTTCAGATGGTTCTATGAAACTGAAAAAGATTTGAACAGATTTTCTAATTTTCAATAAATTGCAAAAAAAGGATATTTTTAGTTTAGTTTAGTAGTTTTAATGAAATTCGAATTCAATTTTTAATTTTTTTAAAACGATGGTCGCCTGGAGCGATTCTTTAATATATTTTTTATTTAAAAAATATGTGTAGGGAAGACACATTTTTTTCATTTGTTTTCATTTTTGCATTTATTAAATAAATAAAGAGCAGGGTGCGGTTTACAGACCAGCTAAATAAGTCATTGGTGCAAACTGCAATCACACCCAGGTATTTATTTACATAAGTGCTACCTCATTTTCATTTCAAATCAGTTTTAAAGATTTTTTTTTCATTTTTCTTTTTTTTGCTATTAATTTCGTATTTATTTTAGCTAAATTTAGTTGTTTATAGTTTTTTGTGTCATTTTTCTCTATCCCCTTTTTTACTAAATTCTTTTTCTAATCGCTTCAATTATACTACAAATATATATTTTTTAATTGGAAAATATTAGAAAAAAAATGATAAAAGAAATAATGAAAAATACTTTTTATTGGTGCATTTTTTTTCGCACTTGTAATTTTATTATCGAATACCTCATTTATTTTTTAAATCATTTATTTTTTTTAAAGTTTTTTTGATGGATTTCTTGTTGCTAATTTAATTAATTCATATAAATGTGATGCGATTTGTTGATTGCGAAAAAATTCTAAAAAAATTGATAGCTTTGTTCGCATTTTCATTTGGATATTCTTTCAAATCTTTCATGCATCCAGGAAAACACTTTTTCTCTTTTTTAAAATTTCTCTTTCACTGAAATCTGAGAATCGCATAACAGTGATATGACACGTTGATAGTTTTTTAGTTATAGCTTTGGGAAATCGTGATTTCAAAATAACGTTTTTTTATCAATTTATTGTGTGAAGAAATTGAAAAAAAGAAATTTTCATATTTTATAGCACTGGAAGAATCAAATTTTTTTGAAAAATTGCATGGATATGATGAGACGATTTAGTTTTGGGGTTCAAAATTGCCCTTCGATAAAATTTTTCTTAAATAATTAATAATAATAATAATATTAATGATACAATAGTAATAATAATATATATCTTCATTTTAAAAAAACTCAAATTTTTTGAGTTTTTTCCATCAATTTTTTTGCAAATTTTCGTAATCATTTTATTTCTTAACTGGAATTGTTTTTTTCATAAAAAGTCGTTTTTGAATAAAATTTTCTATCGATTTCAGAGAAAATTTTCCGTTAATTTTAGCAAAAATTTTTCAAAACGAAATAAAAATATAAAAAATTTTTTATGACAACTGATCACCATTCAAAGTACTTTTAAAGGTTATGAAAAATTGTTTAAATGTTTTTTCCAAGAATTCAATATGGTAATTAAAACCTATTCAAATGGAATAATTAAAAAAATGACGAAATGAAATGAAATATTATAAGTTGCAAAAAATATTTTCATGCTAACATTCTTTTAAATTAAAAGGGCCAATCATTGGCTGAACATTGAAACCTCGAAGAAATATTAACTTAAATAAACTTTCATTTTAAAAAAACTTAAAATTATAAAAAAATAAAATTTCGATTTCAATGAAATCGAATGAAGTTGGCAAACAGAATTCTTAAATATCAAAAATTTTTCCTAATAAACCAAGAAAAAAATCCGAAAAAATTGAAATCCAAACGGCTAAACAGATCAAGAATGTCAATCAAAATTATCGAAATACAAAATATTTCTCATGCCTAATTTAAAGTTTCCAAAATTTATTTATCAAGGGGCAAAATAGATCTGAAGTAAATCATGTCAGATGAATGAATCAAATTTTTCAATGGATCAAAGAAATGTGCAAAAACATATATCACTCACATCACATGCATGCATAATACACCATAAAAGTTGTCATTATTATAAAAGGGAATGCAGAAGAAAATAGAGAAAATTTTCACTCCTTAAACTTTGTTTTAAAAGTCGACCTGCGTTCATAAAATATGGAATAAAAAGAGATTTTTGCATGAATTTCAGTGAACAAATGATAATTTAAATAAGACTAAGGGATTATTGGTTTCATTTCAGAGTGCCAATGCTGAGGTTTTATTTGCGGCAAGAGTAAATCTGTTCAAAAATCTGGATAATGCTGGCGACATATTTCCACCTTTCTTGATAAAATTTGCCGGCAAATCAGCGGAGTGAGTTTAGCGGAAATGGCTTTAAAAAAGAACGCTTAAAAGACAACCAAGATATCTAAAAAATCTAATTAGGTACCTAAAACACCTAATAAAACATCTAAAAGAAATTGTAACACTTTTTATAAACGAAAGAAATAAAAAATCCTTAAAAACTCCTCCCTATAATTAACGGTGGCGATGGCGATATTTTCGAATTTACATCAACAACTGTTTTTTTGCCTTCAATAATCATTCCAAATTCTATGATTTAAAATAAGTAATCTTTCGTATTTATCTTATTTACAGTTTTCGTCATTGCTACTTTATTTCATTTCTTCAGAATATTGCTAAATTTCATTTATTTATTGGTGCTTTGGTTTGATATTCTTATATTAATTCTTCTCAATCAATAATTCAGACTATTAAATCCTTATCTTTAAAAAGTGGTTGTTTACTGGTGATAGTGGTTATTAATGATTATTAATGATTATAGTGGTTATTTATATGAAGGTTATCCAGGTTATATTTAATCTTAAAATTAGCTTTATATCTCCATAGAAAATATTAGATCATCGACTAGACGACTTAACGAATCTAATCAGGAAGAAAGGATATCTCGGTCTGCGTTAAGGATGGGCGATAAGTTTCTTGGGGCTTAAACAATTAATAATAAACCAACGATTAAAATTATAATAATCATCATAAACATATAGAAAGTATAGAAAGTCAATTTTGAAACATATAGAATCCAAAGCGAATAATTTGTCCGTGAAGAAAGAAAGTGATTTCAAGTCGTAGAATTATCCGACTCATTTCTAATACTAATAACATCAGAACATTTTATATTTTTTCTTTAATGAGTTTTTTAATTGTAGACAAAAAATTTTTCGAAAACACAATAATTAGCATAATATTCATACGAATTGGAAATCCAGATAGAAAGGAACATTAACGTGGAAATGCATCGAGATAATTTGGAATAATTTGGAATCAGAAAATTTGTATCTTATTTCCCAGAATTAAAACTTTAATTTCACATAATAAACATTCGAATTTATGTTTTTTTACTCGATGGCCAGCGTTTAATATTTTTCAAAGAAAGTTAAATTCAGTTCAGGTCAAGTATAAATTAATACATAAATTAATCAAATAATTTTAAAATATTTGTGAAACACTCTTTCGATTAGGTCATCGCTAGTATGACCAATATCGTTATCACTGTGGTCCGATTCACTTCCATTGTTCCATCATTCGAATTCAGGTCATCCAAGAGTATATACCCCCCTAAAATCATGAGAAATTTTCATTAGGCAGTTGTCGTTGAAATAGTTGCGAAAAATTTTTTTCTACTTGCTTCAAATAAATTCTCTTCTGCATTTACGTTCTGTATTTTCCATTTTTAATTATATTTTAGTCAATATTAGAATAATAACTGAAATTTTATTAGAGATTTTTAATAGTTTCTTTGTATTCAATAAGAAAACAAGTGAGCAATTTCCATTATTCGATTTGGTCACATAAAATAATTTTTAGTAAATTTCGAAAATGAAATCGAGAGTTATATTAATTCACACATTTATGCTACTGACAACTTCCACATCTGTGATAGAAGCAATATTATTTGGTAATAATGGTTGTTGCTGTAGTTGTGGATTACCTATGCCGTCATACTGTGGTTGTAAAATTGCGGTATTAGTTTTAAAATTTTTAAGAAATTAAGAGAATAGATAATTAGAAACTGTCTTATTTAGTGTACCACAAAAACCGACGAGCGTGGAAATGAAAACGGTTGAATAAGAGCATATATGACCTACTTGGTTTAATTTCAGCGCGATGAGATTATAAAGTCATTACTTTCCAGTTCAGTTAATTAAGTGAGGTGAAAAAAATTATGATTCCGAGAATAAGCCAGTGCCTTTAAAAAAGACCGGCTTTATGCTTCATTGTTTTTGCGGGTAAACTCTTCAGGTAGCCTTTGAAGTACGTGGTATTGCTTAACCATTATCATTTCCACGCTAAGTAGTGGTGTTTGAGCGAATATTTAATTCATCTTAATTTAACAAATGGATATACCCACCACTCCCTTAAACAAAAATCTCAAGTAGTTTAGCCAAACTTAATTAAAAAAACAATTTATGCATTAAAAACTTTGGTCAAGAATGAAAAAAATCCATCAAATATTCACATCAAATATATTCCTTTTATCGACTTTCTAAATTATTATCGCTAAATAATATGCTAGGCCTAATTTATAAAATATTTCAGTCAGTATGCCCTCCACCATTGCCATGCCCTTTACCAGCTTGTCCAGTGTGTCAACTCTGTTCACTTCCACCACCATGTCCACTACCACCTATTCCAGTTTGCCCAGCACCACAACCAGTGCAATTGCAACTTCCTTGCACATGTGGAGCCGCTCAAGGACGTCAGTCAATAGAAGCATTTGTCTTGATTTTAAGAATTTTTTTTTATTTTTTTTAAAGCAAGTCTAAACTATTTATTGGTTTTCTTGTTGGTTACTGGTGTGAAATATAGTGTGGACTTTTTCGATATCTTTAACTGTTTAATGAACTCATTCACCTTGAAAATTAATTTAAGAACTTTAAAAAAAGTTGTTAACATTTAAATTTAGTGCAAACTAATTCCATTTAAAAAATTCGATATTCATATTTTTTAGCCTATTTTTCTGGTGGTTACGCAGCAGGAGGTGGTTTTGCACCTGGAGGTGGCTATCAGGCACCACCACAGATTGGACCTCCACAGTTTCGACAACCAGAAACAGGTTATAGAAGCCGTATAGAGCTAAGACCTGGTTATGAATCACAGCCCGCACCTCAATATCAAGAACAGCCACTTCATTCGCTCAGCGTTAGATCAGGAGCAGAAAGTGTCGTCACCCAAGAAATCATAGAGCCAGAGAGCCATGCGTTAAATAAAGATGACCCACCCAGTTCTGCAACTCAAGGTACTAATTTAGAATGTTTTAGAAATTCACAACTTTTTAGTGAAAACAAAATGAAATCGAATTTCAGTCATTATTAAAGTAAAATTTGTTTGGAGAATGACGAACTTTTTCAGAGAAATGAAAATTGTTAAGGCTCATTTCTTAAAGTAAAATGGAATCTTAGGAATACAAGATCCATAGGATTCATTGAAATCCATAATTTATTTGAAAAAAATCAATTCCAAATAAACAAAAAGAATTTAGCAGAACCAAGTGAAATAGATGATAAACCAAAAGCTGAAGCATCAGTGACAATCAGTGAATCCAAATGTAATAACGAAAAGTTAATGGATCTAATTTCGAAGGTACTAGAACTGTTAATAATTTTTTAAAACTCTTCTTCTCATCGATTTTTTTTTCTTTTTGAAAAGTAAACTGAGAATTCAAGGCCCAAACTGTGTCATAAGTGTCATAATTAATTTCAATTGGACGATTTTCAATTTAAATTGGACGATTTTAAAAAGCCTGAAGCGTGGTATATGAAATGGCAAAGAAAACATTTGCTAATATATAAATACGCATATATAAATACATAAATAAATATATAATATATAAAATATAAAAAAATATATAAATACGCATGGTAGTGAACAGTACGTAACTGGACTGAGGTCCAGGCATCATAGGTTCGATTCCTTTCCTTTTTATTGTTGTAAACTTGTCATTAAAAATCGTCATTCGGAGCTTTGCTTGATGGTTCCACCTGTACTTCTTCCGTCCAAGTGACTTGTGTCTCTCTGGCGTGAGAATGTCGTGCAAATTGGCAGCCACCAATCGAACAAGAAATTGGAGTTGTTAGAAGATAGAGACTTCGTACTTCATCACTTTAAGCCACACTTTCTCATCATTTTTCTAATTTATTGCTTCGTTAATATCGTTTTGTTAACGAACTATCAAAACGAGATATTTCAAGGTGTTAAACAATTGATTTGCGATGATTGCATGGCGCAAATTGAACACCATTTTTCGAAAATAACGCGAAAAACCTGCTCATTGTTGGAAACATTTCGTTTATATTTATTGATTCTGACAGATTCAATAAAATCGGAAAAACGATGCCAATTCTCATCCTTAAATATGATAATTACAACCCATTAATGATAAAGAAGTGCATTTATCTACGAACAAACAGAAATATTTGCTTTTTAAAACAGTTTATTCTAGAACATCGTTGAAGATGACCCCGTTGAATCGAAACGAGCAATACATAAAGCCGCTTTAGAAGAGATTCAAGATTCGGTGATCGACATTATCTGTTCAGATGCCGGTTTCACATATATTGTTAGCACGACTGAATATTGTGAAGCACAAAAACGAAGAGTTATTTGCTTTATCTATAAAAAGCCGTAAAATCTTTGCTATTTAAAAGTAAATCCTAAAATATTATTTCATTGTATCTCATTTTTTCATATCTGCATTCAATCTATTTAAAAATCTTTCCCCAAAAAGTTACAAAAACAGTAACTCACTTGATTTTATGGGAATTTAAGTTTTGAAACTTATACGAGTAATTTTACCATTACGGTAATACAATTTAAGTTACAGTCACGGTTTCCACTATTACTTTCATTAACAATTATTCAGCAATATGGCAAAAATCTTGCCTGATTTATCTCAAGGATATAAGCAAGATATTATTAATAATATGAATAATTCGCGATTTTATTTTTCTTTTGAAACTTTATAATATGTCGTTCGAATGTGTTATCGGTAAGTGCGTTATTATCTGGATAATAAAAAATTTTTTAAAAAATTCTGATTTGAAATTATCGATTGACTGCTCCAGGTCACAATAAATCTAAAAAATTTAAAATTTTTGAAAAATTTCGGCCAAACAAACTCTGCGCCGTACTACTTGCATTTCATGGTCTATGATGAATGTACTATAAATTACGCTGCTCAAGCTGCAGACTCAATATCCGCTAAACAAAGTGCTTCAATACTTTAAAAAAAAAGCCAAATACAAAATACAACTGGAAATTTTTGCAAATTTTAATTCCAATGTACAACTTCTTCTTCTAACAGCTCTCACCATTACTGGTTAGGCTGGCCCCAACGGATACAAGGGTAAGACGCTTCCAAGCGGTGCGTTGCCATCGTATGATGGAAGCCGTTCCTTTTTTTAAGTCCATATATTGCTGATCCACCTATATGTTCAAAATCTTTTCTGACCATATCAGTCCATGTCTTGACTGGCCCACCTCGCTTTTGACGCCACTCATCACAGGGTTTAGCAAGTAACGAAATATGCGTCAACTCCTGCGGTGGACGACGGAGAACGTGCCCTAACCAGCGAAGGTGACGCTCCGTGATAACATTATTTATGCAAGTGGTATCTGAACGAAGGTGGATCATGTGATCACACACACACACACACACACACACATGATCGCACAATTCCAATTATAACACATTGTGTTAATTCCACATTTCCAAAATTTTATCATATTTAAATCAATTATCGACAAATATCAGTGATAAAGTCATTTTAAAAAGTAAAAGTAAAAGTAAAAGTAAAGTATAAAATAAAGTTATTTTTCCTACTTGTTCCCTTATGAATTAAGAACTCAGTATTAAAAGAAATGAACCTAACTTTTCTAAATGAATCAACCAGTATGGAACTGATTTTTGAAAAAACTCAAAGAAAACAACTGGTACACGGACAACACCCACAATTTGCAGTATGAAAATTCTATAGATAAAATGCACATCAAAAGAACGAACTTCTTGCAAATCTGCTGAGCTATAATATAAAATAATTTAATTTAACCTAGACTGCCTTTTTCTGAAGATGAATTAGTAGAAATTGTGAAAAACAAGATAATCATATAATCAATTTAATTACCACAAAAAAAATATACAAAAAAAATAAATTCAGCAAAATATATCTTCAGTTCATAAGTGAAATATTTTGAGAGAATAAGCAAATTTACTTATTAAAAAATTAGGCAAAATAATACGGTCTTCTTGTACGGAATGCACGACACAATATGCATGTTGACAACAATGCGAATAATTCGATAACGAATAAAATGAATGCAATCACGATAACGATTTCCCCGGTTGAATGGATCCAGTCTGTTATAACTTTGAAGCAATCAGCCTAAGATAAACAACTAATAAATAAGCTGAAATCAAAATTTTTGCAAAATCAATTCCAAAAATTGGATTCAAAAAAAAGTCGAAAGGTTAATATTTTCATAAAATAAACTTTTGTATAAAGATCCTTTTCACATAATCCTGCTCGCTTGAACTCTTCTTGAGTCTCTACTGTAGCACCACAACATTGGAAAAGATCTTCAATTGGTTTTAAGTTTTTCATATATGTTTTATTTTTCGACACTTCATTCAAAAGTTTCTGAAAAAAAGCTTTAATTCTTTAAAACGCTTCCTCATAATCAAATACAACTGCTTATTCGTGAATTTCACTGAAAGTCGCAATAATCAAGTCAATCTATTCAACCGATGTTAATGAATCACAGTTATGACAATTTATAATAGAAATTTTCGAATATGCATGACGTACGTGTAATGATTCCTTGAATTGATTTTTGCTTGTGATAGCGAAAATAGCCGCACCCATTTCAATAAAAGTCAGAACCAAGACGATGACAAAGAACTAAAAGAACCTTTGTAATCTCACATACAGCTCTATACAGCTCTATATAACAAAAAATATGAAAAAATGATCTCTCAAACACAACAAAAACCGATCTAATAGCAATTTAATAAAAAAATAATTCCCAAAAAAAATTCTGTAAACATACCAAACTCAACAATAATGTACTTTCACAAAGTGCACCACAACAACCTAAGAATCCAACAAGAAATAATAGAGCACCAACTGCAACCAGTATCCACAAAGATGCCTGATACTAAAATAACAATAAATTGAAATTTTATAAAAATGCAAATCTGGTTTCATAAAATATAGTATAAAATATAAAATATAAGAATAATAAAATATAAAAAAGCATAAGAAAAAAAACCAACCTTAGAAAGCATATTTAGATTTTCTTGATGAATCTCTTTCGTCAGCTTCTCCAAATTTACCGCAAAATTTTTATCCAAATTCGCCCATAATGAGAAGCCAAATATCAAGCCGCCAAAAACACATATAAGTAGATTGGCAGAAAAAAATAAAAACTTTATTACTGCATTCCCCAAACCATATACCATTCTTCCTTTTCGTTTTCAACTTCCAATCCAAAAAAAATTTATTTAAACAATCCATTTAAAAGATGAAGAATTTTTTTAATGCAAAAACGCCATTTTCTTCCGATATCAAATTATTCAGCTATATTCGAACACAAGAAATTACTTGAAATTATAAAATTATTTAAAGTAAAACATAATTGTTAAATGCAAATTAATAAGACTTTTTACTGACAAATTTTGGTACAAAATTCACTTAGCGATAGAAATACAGGTGGGTGATCTGGAGCACACGGATTTTCTGATAGTTCCTAGCTGATGCTCTTCGGCAACTAATTATTTGGTTATGAGCCTTTCGATACAACAACACGGCGAACAAGAGTATATTTTGGAATGTTATCCTTAATGCACTGCAGTAAAAGAAATTCGAGTAATATACAAAAAAAGCAAATAAACCTGAAACTGCAACAAATAAACGTGTTACGCGAAGAAATTCGCTTTCGACATCCATCAAAGATGCCTTTTTGCCAAAATACATAACGAAAATATTAAATTTAACTTCACATAAGCAAGATTTCTTATAATTGTATTAATTTATTATAATTGTATTCATTTCTGCGAAATTCGTGATTTCAATGAAATAAAAATAATCCAAGAGAACCATCCAAACCGAACGATTTCCGAAAAAAAATTTGAATTCTCCAACAACGATGAGCGAATTGCTTCATTTATATCTTTATTTTAGAGATAATTAAGCACAAATGGAAATTAGTTTTTTGTTCATAGTCTTAAGCGAGTGACGCTTGCCTGAACACGCTCATACGAACAGCCAGTGGAACTAACCTAACCAAAAATGGAAAGTACCAGCAATTATTTACTTCTACTCAATTCAAAAGGGATCTTTTCCTGTATTTATCAGCACTTTTTATTTTCAATTCACTTCCACTTTAATCGTAATTTAATCACCTGGGGGGTCATTATTTCTGAACTGATTCATATTTGTCTCTCCATTCCACTTTTAATCGACTAACTTAAGTTACTCTCATTCTTCATCAATATTTGTGTTTTATATAGCTTTTCTCGAAACTTTTAGAAACTTTTATCGAAGATATCAACTGCTTCACCAAATTTTTAAGGAAACCCATGGCTTTCATCCCTCACATAAATTTCACCAGACTCACAAAGGAATCGAAGAAACCGAAACTTTCACCAGATCCATCAAGGACAGAAACTCTCAGATGATTCCCAGCTTTTCAAAGACTCACGAATTATCCAACCATATTATAATACTGATTAAAATACAATCAATTAATTAAAGAAAAATTTAATGAAATGAGAAATAAATTCTCCACAACACATAGCTTTCAAGGCGAATTTTCAGCTTATTACTTAAAAAGGAAATAAAATTAATTTAGATAAATGGTTAGCTCTCCACATTTCTGTTTACTCGCCCACTAGTTGTTAGTATGAAAAATTTTTTTGCCAATGGGGACAGAAGAAATAGAGATGAATCCCCAGCACCATTCGGATTTCTTGCATGGCTCCTTGCTGCTCGGAATGATAGCCTACGGACTTTGTTAACTAAATAATGATAAAAAATAAAAAGAAACATTCTTAAAGAATAAAAATTCAAAAGAAAAATTAATAAGAACTGGTTTTTGCAAAAATTTGTTGTTTTCCAATTTTATTTGATCTTCGCTAATTGTATTACTCCAACTCCCTTCTCCCCCCCCCCCCCCCCCCCCCCCCACCCCCACCCCCATCAATGCAAATTTTTGAAATTCTATTCTGAAAAATTTCAATTTCACAGTAAATAGTGCAATAGGAAATAGTTAACGACCTAAAAGAGGTCCAAATGATGGCCACGGTCGACAAACATATGGCCCGCCCACTCATCCTTAAAATTACCGGAAACCATTAAGTAAATTTACCATTTATTTCAAAATTTGTTAAATTTGTTTAAAAATAAAAAATAACATTTTAAATTTCCGATTAATTATAGATTTATTCATCAATATTTATTTTTATAACTGATTATTCAAAAAGTTTTTTTCCATTTTTCATAAAAAACAAGTTTTGAGAACAATTTATAGTGGGTTTAAATGTCGTAAAGCGATTCGGCATTAATTAAAAATTATTCTAAATTATGTAAAATTGGTAGTAAAAATAAAACAGCCAAAAAAGATAGAAATGCTTGCAACAGTGTCAAAGGTCAACGACAATTAGTACGACTGAGTCAGATCGATTGAATAGAAATCGTAAATTTGTGTGGGCCAATGTTTGTTCAATAATATAAGTTATCAACATAAAATCAATGCAATTTTTCTTATTTAGATGGACAAAATGTAAATTTAGTGGGCAGTAGTTTGGTTAAAGGTCGATAATGCTCACACGTTAGTGAGAAAAGTGTTGCACCAGAAGACGGACGGACGAGAAGACGAGCAAGTAGAACGTTTATCGAGCACTGTTTGCAGTCCAGTGATAGGTGACCCGTGGAAAGTCGTTTCGAGTGAATATGGGAACACTGACATTCGATGAAATATTCCGCGGGGATTTTCGAAGGTGCATCGTCAAATCTACAAATCTGTAACTCGCCCCTAACATTTTAAGTTTTGCGACTTGCAAACAATAAATAACAAAAAAATTCGGAAAATAAATTAATAAACAATTTTAGGTGAAGAAACTATTTCGTATTTTGCATACAGAATAAACAAAAAGTGAAAAGCGAGAGTGAAATTCAAAAATGACTTCTACTTGACCTTTCAAGCCTTACCTTGCATCAAATCCGTGTTAAGTTTCCCATACCTCTACTCAACCGACTTCCCCTCACCCCTCACGTGCCTCAATCGTTACTGTTATTCAACTATCGCTTATGTGTAGACAAATGTATAAAGGCAACTCATGCCACACCCATTTCAGTTATTCATCGCCTGCAATTGTTGCGAGTAGTAACGAGTGAGAAGAATGCGGCGTAAAAAAAGTTGATAATACTAAGTTGTAGCGGACTAGGAAGAGAGGGAGGTTAAAGAGAAGCCTGAGCTTGGCCCGTGGCCTTTGCAAATAAATTGTAGCAGATCAGGAAGAAAGGGAGGCTAAAGAGAAGCTTGAGCTTGGCCCTTGACTAGCGTGGCCTTTCCTCATCTCTCCCATCTCTTTGTATTGTTTTTTTCGTTTTATTAACATCACTAAATTCTCAATTTTTTCGAATAACATTAACTCGCTGTTTATTTCTTTATGCTTTATCAAATACAATATTACTTCGAGCATTAAGTGATAAATGAAATTTTTGTTTAAAAATCTGTTCCACTTGTTCAGTACAAATATTTCTGGCATTGTTGGTTGGAAGATTTTCGCTAAATATGCTTCTGGTGATTGTGTGTCACATCTGTGCGCGTCTGTCTGCTTCTCAACCGACTTGTTTCACTTCTGCAACCCTTCGCCCCATTTCCCCAACCTTGCTTTCCGTTCTCTTTGTGCACCTTTCCATATAATTTTCTCTTCCTACTTCTCTGTACATCCGTCCTAAACTTCCACTCTTCGTTATTATCTTTCTTACAAATTTGCTTAAACTGCTAAAATTTACTTGAAATCCCTAAGAATTTGATAAAATATGGTCATTTCCAGTTTTAGATTAGAGATTATTCGATTCAGTTAGTTGGATTTTTTCGGATTTTCTGGAACAAATCCTTTTTCCTATGCGAAAATTCTCACTAATGTTTTTGCCTTCAAAAGTGTTTTTTTCAGGAGTTGAATTCCACAAAAAAATGAACCGGTTGTTTGTTCGACCTTCAGTCAGTTTTGGTTAGAATTTCGTTGCTTTTTTTCTAAAATGGTGATTCACTATAATATGAAAGATTATTGCAGAAATTATAAATATAATAGTTCGGATGGTTTTGGAGACCTTATATTTCTATCCTCAGGTGACTCACTGGCGAAAAATCTTATTTGTAGTTAGCTGAGCCAACTAAACTGTAAATGGTGAGGAATGCTAGTGGAAAAATTAGAGAAGAATAGTATATGGAAATTATTCTGGGCATCAATGGGTTCTTCTTTTTACTACTGCACCATAATTTGGAGTGGTATGATTTTCGCTTCGGTTGCGAGAGGTTCAGGGATCTCGGCTTGGTCCAGCGTTCATTTCACTAAAAGAAGCAGAATAGCCTAGTCTTGCTCAGATCATCTCGAGTTCTGTCCTTGCATCGGATAGCAGTAAAATCATGAAAATTTGAATGATGCCATGCACCTTTCACTCCCAGGTAATTAACTCCTTGAGAAATTTCCTAAATTTCCTACAGAAATTTCCTAACAGGGAATGGTCAGTGCCAACTATTTACTTACCTATTTACTTCTTGTAAGAAAGATATTGTGATTTATTGTTAAATTAAAGGTTATCATGTTCGATTTCTGCAAAAAAATGTTGAAGCAGTTGCACCAAGCGTATCGACACCAATTCCAGGACCCATTTCTAAAAAATTGAAAGAAAAAATGGAACCACATCACGTAAATATTTCATTGATTTCATTTATCATTAATAACAGAATGCTATATATAGCTTAGATTATTATTTAAAACATCATGGATCGACTTTTGCATCTGGCACGAGTTACTTACATCCCATCCTCAAAATATCTCCTCCTAATAGCCATAGCTTGCCTAATCAGAAATGGTGAGTACTAACCACTAACTTTCATATATAATGAAATGAAATGGGGTTTGATATCTTGAAAACGCGGATCTTCCTAGTTGATGGCGATTATTGGTTATAGAGTCAGAGTCTCAGAGTCAGAATCTCATCAGAACCTAATTAGTGCTTGAGAAGTAGTATTGGAGAGAAAGGGGCTTTAAGATTACTTATGAAGCTATGAAGATTACTTATCGTTAATATTAATTGTATATAACATAAAATGCAACGTTGGAACTCCTTTATATTCCCTTAACTCTGGTTTACATGTGAAATAAAGGTGCTTTTGGGTTAATGTTATAGTGTTATGGACTCTCCTTTTCTTGTCACTATAAATTAGGTGCAAGCCTGAAGTTTTTTCTATATATGTGTATAATTTATTATTTATAATATATTTGTTTATTCTATTCCGTTGATATTCTTTGTCATTTTTTTCTGCCATTCTTAGCACTTTTTCGCTACATCTTATTTAGTAGTATAGGCTGTTGGTGGCACTGGAGACCCACTTGTGTTTCTATTTATCTTTCTGTCCAAGCTTTCATTTTGATAGCAAAGTCAAGCAGACCTGTTATGTAACAATTGTTAATTGTTAATTGTTAACGTCGTATCGGATAATCGACAGTTAACTAGTTGATTTATCAGTTGGATTAGTTCTATAATTTGTGATAAGAAACAATTTACAATTTAATTTTTTATCTTTTTTTTTAGCAAGCACCATCGGTTCGATTTTTTGTGGACTATGAAAAATCATTTGGTAATTATTTGGTTGATGCTGATGGAAACACTCTTCTCGACGTTTATATGCAAATTTCTTCCTTATCATTAGGTGGTTTTATTTTTTTTTTTAACGAAAATTGGAATTATTATTGTTGTTTACTTTTTCATTATTATTTTAATATTATTAGTATTACTACTATTATTAACAATTATTATCATTATCATTAATTATTCCTGTTTGTTATTGTTACATTAATGCTATTAATTGTAATTATAATTCGTATTATTATTGTTATTAATATCATTATCGTTGGTTATTATCACTGTTGTCATGTTATCTTTACAATCACTACATTATTAGTGTTAATTTGTGCTATTTATAATTTATGTATTGTATATATAAATTTTCTTTCTTCAGGATAGTGTAAAATTATTTTTATTATATAAAATTAAACGAATTTTGAATACAAAGGTTTTTTGAAATCATTTGCCCATTTTTTCAGGATATAACCATCCAGAATTGGTCAAAGTTATAAGCGATCCACGTTTTATTGTGAGTTTATTCAGGGTTATCAAAATGTGATCTTGTTTTATGCCATATAGCTGACTGGACTGAACTGGAAATGGAAATTTACTAAGTAAATTCATGTTATGACTACGTGGAATAAGATATGATTCATTTATTTAATTTTTTTATTCATTATAAATAACTGATAATAGGCAACAGCTGTAAGTCGACCAGCTCTTGGCTCATTTCCACCAACTTTTTATCCAGATGCAATCACCAATGCTTTATCATCGGTTGTTACTACTTTTATTTCTGATAATTAGTTGCTGTTTCGTACAATGTTTTATAGAAAGTATAAAAAAAACTTTAAGAAGGTATATATTTCTGCATTATTTAATCAAAAAATAACTTCAACTTTTGGCCAAATGAAAATAGTTTTATTTTATATTATTTGGCGTCAAATTTTTTGATGAACTTTTGAAATAGGTTGCACCAAGAGGTTGTCCTGGTGTTCAAACAATGTTGTGTGGAACGTCATCGAATGAAAATGCAATAAAAGCAGCTTTTATATGGTACCAATATAACAAACGCGGTAAAAAACCTCCAACAGATAAGGATCTGAAGTCATGTATGAAACAAGAACTGCCTGGTACTCCAAATTTAACAGTTTTGTCGTTCCAAGGAGCATTTCACGGTCGATCACTTGGTTTGTTTTCTTTTCTGATTATTTTTTACTATGCAATTGATGATAGTTTAGTTTTGATTTTCTTAATTTTATTTTTAGCTGCATTATCTCTGACTCGTTCTAAATCCATTCATAAAGTTGATATACCTGCTTTTAATTGGCCTGTTGCCAATTTTCCGCGTTACAAATATCCACTCGCAAAAAATATTCAATATAATGAAAGGCAAGATGATGAATGTTTAGCAATGGTTTATTTTGCTCATATTTATTTGGAAAAGATTTTTCACCAAATTTTTTTGCGATTGTTTTTTTCAAAACAAAATGCAATTTTTTGTTTAAAATAATACTCCTATTTTGATTTTTTAAAATATATTTTCAGGTCGAAAAACTGATAATCGACCATAAAAAAGCTGAGCGCGATGTTGCTGCACTGATTGTTGAACCGATTCAAGCCGAAGGCGGTGATCATCATGGATCCCCTGCTTTTTTTCAAGGCTTGCGTAATATAACAGGAAAACATGGAGTAGTTTTTATCGTTGATGAAGTGAGCAGCAAAAGAAAAATATTATTATTAGAAAAAGTTCCCCTGTTAGTGGTTTGAGTCATCCTCAACCTCTACTCCTCTACCACAGGCCTGAGAAATGGAGGTAAGGCAGTGTATATGATAAGCTTTTAGAGGGACTCGCTCGAGGACCCTTACCAGAAGGGTTTGGTTGTAATATAGGTTTTATGTTTATACATAAAAAACAACTAAATAAATAAATATAAATAAAATCATATATATATACATATACATATATTTGTGAGATCGACTTTTTGATAGTATCAATCATATACGTATAAATGTCAAAGTTGAAAAAAAATTATTTCAGGTGCAGACTGGTGGAGGTGGTACTGGCTCATTTTGGGCCCATGAACTGTGGAATTTAATTGACCCACCTGATTTAGTCGTCTTTGCCAAAAAATTTATGACATGCGGCTATTTTTATGCGGAACACCTATCTTGCAAAGAGGTAGTCCATTTTTCTTTTGTCTTTCACCATTATTTGATAGTGCTGCTTTAAACACAATGCTTCTTGTATTTATTAATCTTTTCAGAAATCTAGCTTTGAAAAAAAATTTTGGGTTGAATTAATTTCGAACTTTTTATATTTGCTAGGAGATTATCATCTTAAACTTTTTCAGCCTTATCGAATTTATAATACTTGGATGGGTGAACCGACAAAAGTAGTGTTACTTGAAAAAGCTATTGAGATAATAAGACGAGATAATTTGTTGGAGCAAGTTCGAATCGTAGGAAAGGCATTGTACAATGGACTTCTTCAGATCGAGGTTCATGTTTTATTATTTTACTGAAGATGGTAGTCTTTTAAATTGTATTACTTGCAAGAATAATAATTTATTTTTTTCGAAAGTGCGCAGAAATATATTTCTGAATTTCCTGATTTAAAAATATTTCATGCATCAACTTTAGACTAAATTTCGTGATTTATGATTCTTTTTCAGATACACTAGTTTTGAAAAGGAAATTTTGTAGGTCTGAGGATGGTTTGACCAATTTTAATAAGAGTGAGTGAAATAATGGTTTAAAAAATATTATTTTTCTATTTTGTCCAATTTTTTCGATTCTTTTTTTCAGCGCTTTGAGGATTATGCCTCTAAATCTGAGTTGTTTCTGTTTGAATAATAACATTGATCTTCGATCCTTCTTCTTTGCTTTCGCTAAATTTCAATTCTGGCCAGTGGGACTGTTGGTATATTTTCAATATTGGCCAGTGCTAGCCTTATTAATTATGTGAGTTTTAGAATGTTAATAGTTCGAAAATGATGAATGTCCGTGGACTAGGAACGTTTTGTGCGTTTGATTTATTATCGTCGAAAATGCGTGATGAATTTTTGGAAACTGCAGTTGCAAATGGTAAGATTTTTTTGCATTCAACGGCTGAAACGCCTTCAGTTGGTAAATTATGGTGTTGAACTGAAATGTTTATTTGTATATTTGGAAACTTAAGGGGCACTGTTTTAATGTTTTAGGTTTGCATATTGGAGGTTGCGGTGATGCAGGAGTTCGATTGAGACCAGCACTTATATTTGGTGAAAAACATTTGGAAATTGCACTTGATGTAATCAATAAATCTATGAAGAAACTGTGATTCAATTATTCACTGTTTATTTTAAACAAATATATAGTCAAGATTATTTTGAATAGGTATATTTTAATAATTATACAGAACTGAACTTTTATCTATAAAATTTCATTTCTAAGTATATTTTTCTAAGTAACTTAAATGACTGTGTGCCCCTGTAATTCAGCTGGTAAATTATGGTATTATTGTTCGATATAACTTCTAATATATATTTCTTCTAATAGTTCTCACCAATATTGGTTAAGCCGGCTTCGCTGGCTACAAGGGTCTCCCGAGCTGCTCGGTCCGATGCCATCGCTAGTAGTTATAGAAGCCATACCTTTTTCTATCATGTAAGTCCATATATCGCTGGTCCCCTTATACGTTCAGAATCTTTCCTGACTCTATCAGTCCAGGTCTTGACTGGTCCTCCTCGCTTTTGGCGCCAATCATCACGGGGTTTAGCAAATAATAAAATATGCGTCAACTCCTGGGGTGGACGACGGAGAACGTGCCCTAACCAGCGAAGGCGACGCTATGTGATAACGCTATTAATACAGGTGGTATTCATGGAACTGTATTTTTATAATCTAATTTGGTTTAACTCTTTTTCTAATGTGGTCTTCACCATCGTCAATTTTTTAATTTTTTACTGTAAACCAATCTTATAAAGAAACAAAGGAGAAAAATTTATAAGAGTTACTTAGAAATTTTCACCAGTTTCAGATGTTTTTCATTTTATTTACTGTTATCTCTCAGTTATTTCTTATTCCTAAAGAATTATCTCCATTTATTTTATTAAAGAAAAGTAATAAAAAATTGCCTTGATGATAAGATATATATAATTTTTTAAAGGGCACTTCTGGTTAGACTCGCTTCGCCGCTTTGTCGCCCTGAACAAATTTGTCAGAGAATCCCTTGGCAACAGAAGCACCGGTGAGTCGCCAGCATCACTCGGATTTTTGGAGTTTTATTCCTGTGGAAGCTCAGCATTGGCGCTCCGAATTGACCCACTGAGCCATCCTACTCACCATATAAATAATGGGGCCATTATCTATAGAAAGTGCGAAGAGCTAGGTGTGATGAATCAGTCGACAAGTTATACTTTGGAGTCGAGTTGTTTGAGACTTCAGCTCAAAGAGAGTGGTAGATTTCATAGTGTTAGACATTTTCACGAGACCGACAGCAAAGCATCGTGAGGGAAAGTTGCAGAGAATTTTGAAAAGAGGACGTGAAAGCGCTGAGACTGAACGATTAGAATTGACGAAACTCGTTGACATTCAGCCAATCGGATAAATATCGGTATATTGTTGAGAATCTTTTTTATTTTTTAAAAAAATATATTCGTCGTGTACATTATAATAAAAATTAATAATAACATCAATAAATGCACAAATTATCATTTATAATTTATAATTTTATACATTAAGATTGGCGCTTTTGCTAATAGCATTATGCACTGAGAATCTCGTTGACGTATGGAACGGTTCGGTTGTTCTCGTGGACCGTCCACCTTTTCTTGGAAGTGAACAGAATCCAAAAATTGAATATATATATATATATAGCAAAACTGTCAGTTTCGCTCTATCAGAATAACTTCGATAAAGAAGTGCTGTGCTATTTATTCAATAAATAGCCCTTTCAAACTTTATTTTAGTCTAATTCTTCCTTAAAAAAATCTTAGAATGACTGAAAAAAATACAATACGCACGGATTTAAAAAGTGAACCACAAAATTTGCAACTTAGCAGCTTCAAACATTCTTCAACTTGAAAAGTGATGAAGTATATATATAAGTAATAAAAAGTATTTTTGAAACACATTATAAATGGATTATCAAATATCAAGGTTTTCAGTTGAAGATTTCATAATGTTAGTGATCAAAACGGAGTGAATTGTCAGTGAAAATAAATTTCAGGATAGGTATCGATCATCATTAGTGGGTGGTACATGGAAGAAACATTTCTTATATTATATTATTTATTATCATAGCCTAGTCTTATTTTTCTAAGTACATTAATCATCACGAAACGTGCCATATGAACGATTTTAGCAGATTATCGAAGATTTCAACCTTTTGTTTTAACACTTTCATCGTTGGATTCGCAAATAATAATAGCTAGATTAATTTCATTGGTAATAGTTTTCTTTTTTTGCATATGACTACAACTGAGACAGTTCAAGTACCTTCATAGCCATATTATCGATATTTTTGATAAGTGACGACACTCCTTTCTCAAATCTTGCATAATCACTGTTGTGTTTTATTTCCTAGAATATTTATTTTATCATATAAATTTTTTCACCGAATGGTATTCGCCTTTTATAATAATCATGTACGGTCCAGCGAAATTACTATGAAAATGTTTTTAAATGATATTAGCTGAGTGCTATTATGCTAATAGAAAAATAGACTAAGTTTTCACAACATCACGACGGTTGAAGAAGAGTAGGCCATTCACACCAGATCGGAGATATTTCAGTTCGAATAAATCATGGAAATAACCTTGCCTTATTTCCTCCTATCAAAAGGTATTTATGGCGTTAGCAATGAATGACTTTATTTAATTTCCAAATTTACCTACCTAATTTTTGACTAAAAATTTGATAAAAAATTATCTTTCGTATAAATCACCTCTAACATAGCATATGCAAGTTCACGCGATATTTTCCCTGTTTCAGATATTGCTTTGATAACATTTTGCTGTTCATGGATTATTTTGTGAGCTTTATGAAGTTCTTGTTTACATTCAGCTAGATTTTGTTGGCATTCCATTAATTCATTTGTCACCTTAAATTCATAACTGACATATTTGGCTCCGATATTGTTGATATTTAATATTTTAATGAGTTTATAATATGTTCCTTGCTTTTGTTTTGAGATCCAACAGATAAAACGCATAAAGCATAAAAACTAATTCAGTAGAATTCTAACCTGTTCCGATCTACTTTTTACCTTATTTCGTACCCTTTCTTCAATCATTTCATGCTTAATTTCTGGATCTATATTCGTTAATATCGTTCCATCTTTCCTGTAGCGATCTATCACATTCAGCATTTTTTTTCGCGGCCCAAAAGCCTGCAATTTTTTTCTAAAATTAGTGCATTATTATTTATGATAATCATAAAGAGAGCGAAGATTTTGGTCCATCATTCCACTTTTAATTTAAAATTAATTAAACCAAAAATACTACCATTTACCTTCAAATCATAGTTAATACATGGTTTTATGTGCAGTGTTACTTTCTATTGTTATTAATATTTAGGTAATAAATCAGATCAATTTTTGATTACAAGTATTAACCTTGAATTACAAGCATTAACCTTAACGCCCATTTCAGCAATTTCAGTGTCTGTTAGTTGAAGAAATAATTTTAGATCTATATTTTCTGCTTCGAATATTGGTATGTACTTTTCGAGATTCAGCTGCTGGAGCAAATCAGAAAGAAGTTTTATTTCACTTCCTTTTCTTTTCGATGCACCTTTGTTCTGGAGTATAATTTTCATATCATAAGATTGATATGATTAGTTTAAACCACATTAATATTACTCAAATAGTACTTTGGGAAAACACTTGTACTTCTTTCCCCAAAGTTATTCTTTGGTATCCCAACCCTAAAACTCTATAGTTGTTTCATCCCAGCTGCTGGAGTAGCAAGTTATTATTATTTTAAATTATTTTTAATATGATTTTTATAATTTCTCGTTAGTTAGCAAATTTTTGACAATTTGATCTGGCTCTAATAGCATAGGTTTCAATTTCTGTAACATATCATTAAGTTGCGGTATTTTCGAAATTTCATAGTAGTATTAGTAGTATTTTTTATTTCCTACTTATGCATTATCGATATGATGTCGATATAATGTGTTCTAACCATCGGTGGGTCTTTGATTATGGCGATTGCCTTCGGATTGTCAAAAGCCAGAATTTCACCGTCTTCACCTTTTTTGTTTTTAATTCTTGCATCACCATCCTAAAAAAAATAATGATGATATCTCTACTGAGCCCCTGTTCTATGCGCGCTAATTTTTTTCGCAATTGGTGGCTTAGCTTTTTGTCAAGCTTCTTTCTTATTTTATGCAATATAAAAAGTAAAAAAATTTTTAACAAAAAGTGAACGACTCATATTTAAGAAAAACAATGCGTTGACATGCCATACTTGAATTTTTCACCACTTAATATGGATTTTTTCTCTTTTCTCAGTATTAGTATTTATATTTATCTACTGATTATAATTTAATTTCTATAAACAGCAAGTAAAGGCGTTAAAGGAAATTTCAGTTTTTTTTTTATCAGATAATGCTTTGATAAAATTGTTAATAATGATAAAATTAATACCAACATTTTTAAGGAGTGTAATAAGAGTAATTTCATGAGCAATCGAACATGCTGTAAGTGTCGGAGTCATTCCAGCATTATTTGGCATATTTGGATCAGCTCCCGCTTCTAGAAGTATCTCCACAACAGTACTTTGCGAACAAGCTGTAGCATAACCCAGTGCTGTGTCTCCAAGTTCGTCCTGTCTATCAATATGCGCACCTTTTGATATTAATTGTTTAACCTGAAAAAAACTGCAGTCAAGTTAATTTTGACCATACTGGCCAATACCATAAAATTATTCACCATTTCAGCTTCATATTTACTTTTGCCTGACGATAACATTTGAAGCAATATATCAATATATTTTCTCTGTGATATGGACAGCTTGCATCACAAATAATCAAAAAAGTATCAAAAGAGAACAATTTGATCAATTGACACTTGATTATTTTTCTACTATAACAATTATAAAATGGACTAACAACTGCCACATTTCCACAGCATGAAGCCAACATTAGTGCTGTTTGGCCCTTACCGTTCGTTAAATTTACAGAAGCACCATGTTTGATAAGGATATTACATATGTTATCATGGCCTAGATATGATGCATACATCAGTGCCGACCATTTACTTGAATTAAGTCGATTTGGATCGAAACCTGATTGCAGCTGAGCCTTAAAATTTAAGGTTAAGACCAAAAAATTCGAACGGAGGTAAATGGATATATCAGGTCGTAGATGAAGACGAAAGGAAACACATAAATAACATAAACTCTTGGCCGTATAGTTATCACGGTGACGATTATTGGTAGAACTTATGATATTACGCTCAGAAAATAAAATACCTCAACAATTTCAACATCACCAATACTTGCTGCCGTGTATACATCATAAGGGCCAAACAAAGCATCATCATAAATACGCGGAAATTGAACTACAAATTTGTTAGTTTTGTCTGGTTTAACATCAGCAGCTGAATGAAGCTTTACCGCAGGGAATTCGCTGAACCGTACTGAACGAATTGCTGCCATCTAAGAATAGAATAGAATTTTAAATGCGCAAAAGAATAATTAATTGATTGTAATCAACGATTTATCTAAATATCAAGAGCACATATGATAACCTATATGATAACCTATTTCTGTTTATTTAATTCTTATTTAAGATGCAAAATTGAATTCAATTTTTTTTTCGTCAAATAACATTTATCATTTCAATAGTTCCATCAAAAGATAGGAGCTGAACCTATGAAAGCGTGAGAAAATACCACTTAATTCTATATTTAATCAGAACTTTACCAACGGCTCTAGAAATTCGTAGAGCAGGACAAAAATTTGACAACGCATTAAATTGATTGTTTAGTACAAATGGACAGAGGACAAAATATTAATCCACAAAAATAAAATAACCTGAAATTATTTGTTCGATAGCCAACCCAGGATTTTTTCCAATCGAATTACCCTCACCTAATAGAATAAGAATAGAATGATTCATTGGCCTTATTTGTTAGAAAAAAAGTGCCAATATATAGCCGCTATAAGAAAGGTCAAAGGAATCTTCTTCTTCTTCTAACAGCTCTCACCATTACTGGTTAGGCTGGCTCAAACGGCTACAAGGGTATGACGTTTCCAAGCGGCGCGGTCATGATGCCATTGTCGACACTAATGGAAGCCATTCCTTTTTCCATCGTCTAAGTCCATATATCGCTGGTCCACCTATACGTTCAAAATCTTTTCTCATAGTATCAGTCCAGGTCTTGATTGGCCCACCTCGCTTTTGACGCCAACCATCACATGGTTTAGCAAATAACGAAACATGCGTCAACTCCTGTGGTGGACGACGGAGAATGTGCCCTAACCAGCGAAGACGGCGCTCCGTGATAACATTATTTATGCAAGTGGTATTTGAAGGAAGATGGATGCGATCATGTGATATCTTATCCGCTCGACGTATCCGTAATATGTGCCTTAGACAAGAGTGGTCAAAGATAACTTCTTAATATCCTACACTCTCATTGGTCATGTCTCAGAACCATTTAGTAAGATTGAACTCACGGCAATATAGATGCGGACTTTTGTTTTTATGGTGATTTCACGACGATTCCATAAAGGTTTCGTCAACCGGAAGAACGTATTTCTAGCTTCCGTGATCCAAGTTGTAATATCATCTTTTGCCTGTCCATTTGGTATTAGAGTGGACCCAAGGTATTTGTAATCGGGCATTTCTTCAACCGGCAATGAATTTACAATAAGAGGCATTTTATCAGCTTCTTGACATAGGACGGAAAGGCTTTCGTTTTATTTATTTTATTTACATTGATCCTGAGTCCGATTCTCGCTACAGTTGCTGACACGTTATTTAGCACAATTTGCATTTCACCAAAATTATCAGCAAAAAGGACTATATCATCAGCGTGTTCAAGATCTACGATACGATGCTCTGGACTGATTTGGACACTTCTTGAGTGCCGACAAGACGTATCCATTATCCAGTCTATCGCATAGTTGAATACTGTAGGGGAGAGGACGCAGCCCTGACGGACACCAGTTCTTATTTCGAAGGGATCTATCAGTTCCCCACACAGACTTGCGCCGATGTGCGCTCATAAAATGCGTTTATGAGTCGAATGATCTTTTCTGGAACATCGTTGAGTTCCATCAA